GACAGAGTAGGCTATGTTGATGTCCATGTAGGAAATGTCACCAGGAGCTCAGTAGTAACCATGGAAGTGGTAGTAATAGTGGGATTAAGATGGAACCAACAGGGAATACTGACTGGTAGGTATGAAAAGTAATATAGGGAACTAATGACCTGGTCAACAAAAATGAATTGTGGGGCAGTTTGAGTCCCAGATCTGGTGGCTTGAAAAACAAGCTGGCTGGTGTGCATGCATGTCCAGAATCCTAAGAGGAGAACAGAGGAGAAGAGATTTTGGTGTGGTCATTTCCCTACGGGGGATTCTCTCTCTCTCTCTCTCTCTCCCCATTGAGCACTCCCACCTTATAGCAAATTTAAAATAAATAAATTATGAATAGACTCAAGACTAATAGCAACATCATTTCACAGATGGTCAAGATCTAGAGATATTTACTGTGCTCTGGGGCCACCTCTAATTATAAGAGGGCCACAGACTTAACATTTTGCAGTATAACATCCTCTCTCTCTAGTGAGACCTTTTTAAATTCAGGCTCGAGCTTGAGCCCTCTGAGATGACTTATCTCAGACACCAAAGAGAACTGTAGGAAATGCTGTCTCCTGATGAGCAAGGGCACATGCTTCCTCTCACTCGAGCAGCTGGGGAGGCTGCCAAGTCTAATGTGCTTCAGTATCATCTCCCCTTCCCCCCAGACTCTGGGAGGGCAGTAACTCCTTTCACCATTGCAAAGCAAGTGCTTAATAAACATCTGCTGAATGACTGTGGAAGAAAATGACAGAGGCACAGCACAGGATACAGAGGTAGCCTAAGCCTCGCTTTGAAACCATATTTTAAAAGAAAATAGCAATATCCAGACCAATACAGAAGACAGAGAATAAAGTTCAGGAGAGGGTTGTCGAGGTTGAGTAATCAGTAAGAGCTCTAGGATGGAGCCAATAAATGAGAAACAGTGATTTTGCAAGAGATAGTACAAAGGACTATGTCATAGTCATTGCTGGGATTTTGTTGCTAAACTTGAATGATCTCATCACAGGATTCTCAGATGGCAGAGCTTGGAAGAGATCTTAGAACACTATGGATTAATTTGCTCAGTTTACAGATGAGGAAAATAAGGTGAAATGGCTTAGGATGAGAATCCAATTTGCTGGACTCCATATGCTATACTCTTTCTTATACGTCACTGATTAGCAGTTATACTAAACTTTCGTTTCCACATGTAGGCCCAGAGTATTTAGAAGCAAGGTGTAGAGAGAGTTTTCTAAAGTCTAAAACCTATTCTTAAGTAAAATTCTCATTTTAGAATTCAGTTTCATAAAAAAAAAATAAAACTCTCTTGATAATTTTTTTTTAATCATTCAGTGACAATGAGGCAGCCCATCCTGGTTTCCGATTTGACATGGCTGCCAGAAAGCTCAGAGCTAAATTTAACACTTAATCCTCCTAATAATAGTGGTCTGTTTTTGACAAGCGGTGTTTATTTCCTTCTTCTCTTTATGACTTTTTTAAAATAACTATTTCAATGGCTTTATTGTATATATATTTTTTACTATACGTCATCTCAGATTCTTTTTGGAAGCTAGCCAGGTATAAACCAAAAGAAAAGGAAGATTTCATTTCTCTTATGCAGCAGGATTGCTATTGTAGAATGGTGTCTGTTTGTAGATCCCACCCTTGACCTCCAAGCTCAGGTCTTACCTCCTGGCTTCTTATTTATAGAGCAGGAGGCCACCAAAAGACAGATTGCATACAAATGACTAGTTACAAAATTGTAGGGTCTGCCTGCTAACTAGGCGAGTCTTTTGGAAACTTCTTCGAAATGAAAACAAGATGTGGAAGGAGAGTGCTGTGTTTCCTGCGTTGACGTGGCAGAACTTCACTTACAGCAGTACCCTGGGGGAGGCAAGGCGGCCTAGTCCGTGCATGGTCAGCAGGTGGTGGACTGTCTCACATCCAACTCCAAGCTTTCCGCTAACTACAACCACAAGTCTGATCCTCCCCAGGACGGGGAAATGAGATCACGTAGCCTTCATCTCTTCTGGATTCCAGCCAGGTGAAGAGATTAAAGCACTCGTTTTCTGAAAACACGAGGCTTTCTCTTCCCTCCCTAAATGAAATTCCTCTTAAACCACAAAAATTTAACCCAAGCAGAATTAGGAAAGCAATAAGGAGTTCATGCAGAGATCTTTCTCCTGCTCCCTTGCTCCTTCCGAATCTTCTGTTGCCATTTCTGTCGAGGTAGCAAAAGAAACAATAAATAAATGCCAGAAAATGTCAACTGTTTTATGTATTTGAGCCTGAGACTTCCTGTGACTTTTGTTTTTTACTCTTTCCAATGTTGTTCTTTATTCCTATGGTGTTGGCCACGATTTCCATGATAATCTAAGAGATATGTTCAAAAGAAAAATGGCTTTGAGGGTACTGTTGCTCACGGAGATAGTCCTTCCCTAAAACATCCATTTGGATTCTGTTCATGATCGCCTCCTAGTCAGAACCAATTTGTTCAGATAGAGACAAGATGCTGCCCCAATGTTCCTGACACCTTGAAGAATGAGACAGTTCCAAAAGTCTTTGGCATTTCTCTAGAAAAATCTCAGTATGAATCATAGGTAAGCCTAGTGTATAAAATCAGTATAGCAGGTAAGAGTTCAACCTGAGCCCAGACAGCCTGAATCCTTCTTATTTACTATGTGTGACCTGGGAACCACGGGCAAACTGCTAACCCTGTGCAATACTTGCCTCATCTGTAAAATGGGGTTAACGGTGACTTTTTTCATGCCAAAGAGCCATTACTTTTTTTTTTTTCCGCTAACCCTGTGCAATACTTGCCTCATCTGTAAAATGGGGATGATATTAGTGCCAACTTCACAGAAGGCTTTTACATTTTGGTGTGCATCAGAAACTGGAGGGGGCATTAAAACGAAGATTACTGAGTCCATCCCCATGGTTTCTAATTTTGTAGGCCAGGGAGAGGCCTGAGAATCTGCATTTCTAACAAGTTCTCAGATGATGCTGGTACTTGCTCTGAATCCCACACTCTGAGAATCACTAGCAAAGTGCTGGGGTATGGATTACTTAATTATCAATGCAAAGTAACTGCTAACGGTGACTTTGTTCATGCCAAAGAGCCATTACTTTTTTTTTTTCCTTCTTAAAAATTTACTATAGGGCGGGAACCAGCAGTTAGCGTAATGGCTATGTCGCTGGACTCCCATGTAGTCGACTGCGGTTCGCATCCCGGACCTGGTGGCTTAAAACTCACGCCGGGCGTGTGTGCGTGTGTGCCCCAGATCCCAAGAGGAGAATGGAGGAGAAGGGATTGCAGGGTGACCATCCCCCCGGGGGGTGATTTCTCGCTTTCTGTCTCTATGTCTCTCTCTGTCTGGTGAGCGCACGTGCCCTATAGTGAAAATCTCTCCCCCCGCCCCCCAAAAAAATTTACTATAGGGTTCATGCACAGGAAGAGAGAGTCAGAGAAAAGGAAAGCAAGAAGCACCTCTCAAGAAGGATGACTATGCCATTTCTTCTTCTCCATTTTCCTTTCAGGATTTTGGGCACACAAGTGTGTGAACCCCAGCGGTTTTTTTTTCAAGGCACTGGGTCCAGGACTTGAACCATTCAGTTGGCTCCATGAGATCCAGCTGCCTCAACCACTGTCACTGGCTGGCCTTTTTATGCTCTACTGTCTGCTCTATCACTGGCAATAGATTAGCTGCAGTCAGTGGCATCAGTTATTATCTTACATGCTGTCCCATCAAACTTAGAAATCATAGCAAACTTGCAGTCAAACTCTAATAAAACCTATGATAAGAAATCTTGACACATGGGAGGAAAATCCTAGTAGTTTCTAACAGAAATAGTCTTATTTTAAAGAGTGTAAACATTCAGAAGGGGCTTGTAAACTGTTGTAAATACCTAAAAGTGTGTCCATAGATCTTTGTTTTTTTCCCCTACAACTTGTTAGTACCCATCTGTACATTTATCATGAGGCAGAAAAGAAACAGAAAGCTCCACAGCTACTTCTTGAGGTTTCTGTCTTTTCTCTTAGTTACTGCAAACGCGCCAAAGCAAATTCGATCATTATGGTCAAAAAGAATTCAACTCATAGCAAGTATTTAAGGAGGCCAGCAAATCCAGACGGTGCAACGGCAGTTAGAAACGGTGCAACGGCAGTTAGAAACGGCAGCTTTGAAAGGGCAGAGGAAACAGACCCACCCGCGAGAAGACAAGATTGTTAAAAAGCCCTCCACAACAAAGGCAAACGAACGCAAATCCCTAACCTGAGGGCACTTCTGCAAGCCTAAGGCCAAAGATAACCGCTCTGAACAAAAGCTGAGCCCAAGTGGCCTGCCTTACATAGGGAAAGGGGATACCAAACTTAATGTCAAAGGTTATGTGTTTCCCTCCCAAGACCCCTTGACGTACTTGAGCCTGAGCCAGAACGAACAGAAACACTGCACTGTCTCCCGTGGCACGCCTCACTCCTTCCAAGGAGAAAACTTCTTTATGTTAAACTTAGGTCAAGTGCTTCTTCTGTTCTAAGCATAGGGGTTCTCGAAGTTGAATGAGAGGCAGCTGGTTCTTGGTAACTATCTCATTTTTTTTAAATTGACAATCAGATCTAAATTTTCGGTAGAAATTCTCCAATGAAACGTGAGAACTAGATAAAGCATTCTTGCTACGTGATGGCTTTTGAAAAATTAAACAAAGGGCCCGTGTTTCCAAGAATGTAAAATACGCCTTGCCTTGACAGTTAAAACGTGTAAAATACAAGCCAGTTCACTGACTTGTATTTTCTTCCAAAATACGCGGTTATCTATCAATCAGCACTGCGCCTTCAGGACTCCACGAAAGCGGTTCATGTCTAGTTCGCTAAGAACCAGAAGTCGGCAGCCCGTTCGCGAAACTTGGAGTCCACGCTTCCAGCCCAAAGCCTCCCTTGGACTTGGCACGGGTGAAGGGAGCGAGACACGGGTCCCAGATGGGATTCTGGGGCTGCCACGACTCACCTCGCCAACTTCTCCAGGCTCGCCGCGCCCCGGCGGCCAGCTCGGGGGCGCATACGCGGGGGCCGGCGTCTGCGAGCGCCCGGGCCGACCCCCGGGAGGGCACCCGGA